TCACCTTTTTACTTCCTTATAGAATAAGACAGATTTCTATACCCAACTGAGTGTGTATGTTACTCTCTCTTTGAGCCAATTTTGATGACAGTAAAGTTTAAGCTTTGCCTTCCAACCCCCATCTTCTCCTCTTTTATCATAGTTCTTTCATGCCTCCTTTAAGTAGGATAATTTTACCCCATTCAATCTCCCCCACCTCCTTCTTCCAGTGCAATTTTCTTTCTCATCCATTTATTTTGCTTTTTGGGGTATCATCTCATCAAAGTTAACTTATGTCCATACTCTCTATCTACATATACCTTTTCTAATTGCTCTTATAGTAATAAAGTTAAGAGTTACAAATATTACTTTGCCATATAGCAATGTAAGCAGTTTGACCTTATTGAATTTATTATGATTTTTTTTCTTTCTTGTTTCTTTTTCACCTTTTTATGGCTCCCTTGAGTCTTGTATTTGGAGGTCAAAATTTTTATTCAGCTCTGGTCTTTTAACTAGAAATGCTTGAAACTTATCTATTTCATTAAATGCCCATTTTTTCCTTGAAAAAATATATTCAGTTTTGCTGGGTAGGTGATTCTTGATTGTAATCCTAACTCCTTTGCCTTCTGATATATCATATTCCAAGCCCTGTGGTTCTTTAATGTGGAAGCTGCCAAATCCTCTGTAATCCTGACTGTAGCTCCATGATATTTGAATTCTTTCTTTTTGGCTGCTTGCAATACTTTCTTCTTGATCTGTGAACTCTGGAATTTGACTGTGACAGTCCTGGGAGTTTTCATTTGGGGATCTCTTTCAGGCAGAGATTGGTGGATTCTTTTGATTTCTATTTTGCCTTCTTGTTCTAATATGTCTGGGCAGTTTTGTTTGAAAATTTCTTGAAAGATGTTGTCCAGACTTTTTTTTTTTTATCATGGCTTTCAGGTAGTCCAATAATTCTTATATTATCTTTCCTGGATTTATTTTCTAGGTTAGTTGTTTTTCCAAAGAGAAATTTCACATTTTCTTCTCTTTTTTAATTTTATTTTTTAAATTTTATTTTATTGTATCTTGATGTCTTACAGAGTAATTAGTTTCCACTTGCCCAACTCTAATTTTTAAGGATTTTTTTTCTTTAGTGAACTTTTATACTTCCTTTTTCATTTGACCATTTCTATTTTTTAGGGAGTTATTTCCCTGGATAAATTTTTTAATATATTTCCTCATGCTATTGACCCTCTTTTTTCTTGATTCTTTTGCATTGTTCTCATTTATTTTCCCAATTTTTCTTCTATTTCTCTAATTTGCTTTTTAAATCCTTTTTTAAGGTCTTTTAGGAATTCTTTTTGGGCCTGGGACCACATCACATTTTTCTTTGAGGCTTCACATGTAGCCATTTTGACACTACTGTCCTCTTCTAAATTTATGCCTTGATCCTCCATATCACCAAGTAAACTTTCTATAGTCAAGCTCTTTTTTTGTTTTTTGCTCATTTTTTCCTGCTTTTTTTTTTGGTGACTTGGTGTTTTTGTGTGAGAGCTGGGCTCTGGTCCTGCATTGTCCCAAGCTTTTTGTTCTGGGGCTGTGTGGGTCTTCAGCTATATTTGTAGCCTGTATGGTTTTAACTGGGGTGAGGTTGTTCTAATATTTGGTATAGGTTTCCTATATCAAACTATAAGTTAGCCAATTAGCACTTGCAACCAGCTATGGTTACTCCCAGTGGCCAGAAAATTTACTATGTAGTCGTTTTGTTTGCCTTATTTCACTTTAAAGCCTTCAGAAATGAAATTGCTTTTTTTTTCTTACAATCTTCAAACCTTAGCTAAATATCTTTAGAACTCCTGAGAATTGTTGAGCACTTTCATTCCTACTTGTGAAGTTACCTAGTACAGTTAACTTCTAACATTTTCTAGGGGTATGGCTGGTTGGTTGGTTACTTTTGTTATAGTTTTTCTTAAAATCTGGGATTTAGTAAAGGGAGTTTTGTTCTGTATTTGTAAGACTAATTCTATGATCTTATCCATTTATTTATTGTTTTGCTAGGCCCTTGTAATTTCTCCCCAAAACAACTGACTACATTTTCCTAAAGATTTTAGACAAGAAAGTGGCTATTGACAGCTATGTGACAAAGCTATAGATAAAGGATTTTCAAATGTTCATTTTATTTACTTTTATATTCAACTTTCCAACCTTCCCTTTAAATCTTAAAAACTTTAAGCAGGATTGTAAGGAAAGTATCTTCTGCTTTGCATACCTTTTTATCTTAGGGGTTTGGAGGATTTTTTTTTTAGTTCTACTCTTCACAAGGAAGCAAGAAGTGTGACAGGAAGGTGTGATTTTTAATTTACACCAGAGCTCTCAGCAAATAATGACTTTTCACACCCTGTTATTGCTGCTTAGCCTAGGGGAGGAGTTGGGGGCTACTGTTGTCATATCAAATTAAATCCACTGTTGTCATGCAGAAGGACATTCTTTTTCATTTAACCCTTATGTTAAAAATTTTCAAACTTCATGTAGGTGAATACTTTATGAGGATGAGGCTTATTATTACTTTGAAATGTACATGATTTCTAGGAAATGGTTTTTGGAGACCTGGCTTTTCATTTTGTCAAGCATGAAAAACATGTTTCCCCCCCTTCTTATCCTCACAATGACCAGACAAGTAGGAAATAGTAGCATATTTAGACAATAGCAGAAAACATGTTTGTATTTATTTTTCAGAACTTCTGGGCAAAAGGAGTTTGAGAAAATTAAATTAAAGAATGTGTTTGCTGTTCCCTAATGTTTCCCCTGCTGGTTAGCCAGAAGGCAATTTCTTCCAAGTTTCCAGGAAGGAGTTACTTGAAGATTGGACTGTCAAAACTTGGTGACTTAGAATGCCAGTTGAAATTTTCTAATTAAAAAAATACTCAAGGAATATGCTAAAGACTGAAGCTTGGAATATTTTCATTATTTCCCCATTGCATTTTTAAAAAACTTGATCTGTAATTTATCTGCTTCCTAGGGCAAAGATTACCTTCACAAATACAGATCAACAACTCATCTCTGATTTCTTAGTCTTAGAAGGCTGTGCTATTAGGTTAAGGGACCTAACCGTAATCGTATAGCTAGCAAGTGTCCACGATAGTACTTGAACCCAGGTCTTCTTGACTCTGGAAGTCAACATGTGAAGTGACTTGCCAATGGTCATACAGCAGGCCTTTTTGTATATGTCAACAGCAGGACTTCCTGATCCCAAGATTGGCCTATTCAATAGATTCAGCTGTGTCTCCTCTCTTCTATTAAATGCTTGATTCCATGGCATATTAAGGTCAGTTGAAGGAAATGGTGATATTTAGCCTGGGGAAGAGAGTACTGTGGAATAGATGGCTATTTTCAAACAGTTGAAACATTGCTGTGAGGAAAAGGGATTAAGTTTATTGTGATTGGTCCAAGAGAAGAGAACCAGGAGCAAGTTACAAAGAGTCAGTTTAGGCTTGATGTCAGAAAAAATCTCCTAACAGAGGTTTCCAGAGCAGATGGAGTTGTAGGGATGGAGTTAGGGAGGAGGGTAGTGGGGTTTTCCTCACTGGATATCTTTGAGCAGAGACTGAATGATCATTTGTTAGGTAAGTTGTGATGAGGATATATGGGGGATTAGAAGTTGAACTATATTACCCTAAAATCCCTTCAAACTTAAAATTCTGTGACTTTGAAATCAATCATAAAACTATAGTCTGAACTGCCTTTGGGAAATGAGAACTAGAATTAAAACTAAAGCTAATGGATTCACATAACAATTTTAAAGCAGATGCAAGAGAATTGTGGCAAGTAGAAAAGCTTTCTAAGTAAACATCTTAGAACTCTTTCTACCCATTTTTTTTCATGGAAGTATCTCATATTGAAAAAAATCAGACATGGGTGATGTGTTGATTTGCTCTGTTTAAATATATGTGTGTTGTATCTCTCTATGTGTATATACATACATGTGTGTATGTGTAGTGCTTTGGAAGCACTTTAGTTTGTTTGATTTAGTGGTTAGTAATAGCTATTCAAAAAAAAGCATCAATAAAACATCTAATTCCCAGAATAAATATTTTAAAGAACAGAAGGGGACATAAAATTTTGTTACCACTTTAATAAATTTATGAATCTTTTTTCTTTTCAAAAAACAAACTATACAGGTCTACATTTCTGTATATTATCATCTCTCTTGTTCTACTTTGTATATTGAAATGTTTGTATTTATTGATATTGTTAAGGTCACAATCAAAAGAATTAAAAAATAAAAAACTGCAACCCAGGTAATTTTGCCTGGAATGATATTGCTTGTCCCTGCTGGTTTTGTGTCTGAGAATATGCGTTAAATTCTGACGGGGCAGGAGTAATAGAAGAAAGCAAAAATATTCCAAGATCTCCCCCTGTAAACTTTCTATGGGTTTGCATTGTCACAGTCACTCTTCTCCTTCCGTCTCACTGAGTAATCAGGAGCAGGGACTAAATCTCCACGCTAGCTGTAAGACAGCAAAGGGTTAACTATTCTTGGTTTACAATAAACATCTCTGGCAGACTTTTATCTTATCCTTTCTAAGTTCTCCCCCCTCCCCAACTCCCCCCCTCTGTAAATGTCAACCACTTCCTGATGAGCCTGGTAGTGGTGAATTTCACACCTTTCTTTTCTTTGTGAAGAAACCTGGGTGTTAATGGTAAGGAATTGGGTACCATTGTATGTCTGAGGCTGTCTGTTAGAAGAGCTGAGGGATGCCAGTGGGGGGAAAAGTAAGAAGAGGTGAAGAAGATACTGAAGAAATTAGAACTGGAGAGAGGTTAAGAAATTAGCGATTTGTTTTCTATGAGCCTATCTTTTTATTATCTTATTAGTCTATGAGTATGTCTTTTAATACAGTTTTCTAAAATATAAATCTAAAAGGAGCTTAATATTTAGAGGGGCAGGACCAGCTAAACATAAGAGGAATTTGAGTTTGGAGACCTGGGCGTTTGAAAAAAATCAACCAAGCCAAGAACCTCCTTCCTGTGTTCTACAGGTGCACTTCTAATACAGCCATGGAAACTTGGTCAGTTGATCAGGTCTGCAGTTGGTTGGTGCAGAAAAATTTAGGAGAACTAGTTCACAGGTTTCGAGGTGAGTTGTGTATATGTATGCTTGCATGTCTATACTGACTAATTTAGACTTTCTGCTCTCCAGGCTATTTTCATTTTGACTTAATTGTCTTACTTTTTTGAATGTAACTGCAAGAAAAGTTCAATTTCTCTGATGAATAGAACTTAGTTTGAATCTGACACATTAATACCAGTGAGATATGGGGTATTTCAGAAAAATCCAAATCAAAAATTAGATTTCTAACCATTCTTAAAGATTGATATCTGCTTGGGGGGAATTTTGTGTCACTTAAATTTTTTTTTTTTTTAAGAATGCAGGACCAATGATTTCAGCGTTATAGTGTTGAGGGTGTGGGAGTACCACTTGCCAGTTTGGGAGCTAGCAGATTGCCTCGGTAATTTGCCAGGAGTGGGCTTTTTTTCTCCACTCACAAATGTCTATTAGTGGAGAAATTCAGGCATCTGCAGTTTTTAAAATGGGGAAGTAACAATTCTTACAGTGACCCTCTGGTCTGACATTCTTCTGGGGGAAGGAAATAGGTTTGGGATTAGACAAGGTTAAAGTTTCCCAAATGAAATTAAAAATGCAATTTTCATATAATTGTCCATCAAGGACATTTCAGATGATCTCATGATTGCTTTGTCTCTTGGAATCGCACAGGCAATGGCTTTGCCTTTTGAGTATGCTTCGGTTCTATATGCTTGATTTTGTATTGTACTGTCATGTAAAAGAGCGAAGTGATTTTCTCTTTTCCCCAGAGGAAGAAGTGAGTGGGGCTGCTCTGCTCGCACTGAATGATCGGATGGTTCAGCAGCTGGTAAAGAAGATTGGACATCAGGCAGTTCTGATGGACCTAATTAAAAAATATAAGCAAAAAAATGAAGAACTGACACAACCTTCTGAAAATTCCAGAGTGATAATCCCATCAAAGCAAGCAGAAGCAGTCCATCAGTAAGTGTGATGCCGAAAAGATTCTTGTTTGGGATGCAGGATATTCTGCAATGGCCCTTGAACAGCCACAGGAAAGCTTTCTAGTGGGCTTCCTTCAGTTAGCAGACCACAAACATCTTCAGTCATACTGGGAGTATTTTTGTAACATACTTTGCAGACGGTAATTTCTCAAAGATTATTTAAGAATAGTGAAGATACTCTATATTACTTGCCTAGTGTTCACTACCAGCTTCCATTGAAACACTGAAACTAATGGTTGCAAGAGTGATAAATACAGGTAAATTCCTGCTAAGAGTAATTTCTCCCTAACAATTGAAGCATGTGCAACAGGAGTTGTAGTACCCTCAGAGAGCTCATGATTTAAAAGTGGTTGTTTATGAGGGGCAGCTAGCTGGCGCAGTGGATAGAGCACTGGCCCTGAAGTCAGGAGTGTACCTGAGTTCAAATACAGCCTCAGACCAAATACTTCACACTTACTTAGCTGTGTGACCCTGGGCAAGTCACTTAACCCCAATTGCCTTAAAAAAAAAAGGTGGTTGTTTACGTCAGGCTCTTTATTGGTCTTCTTTACTCAGGGTACCCAAACTTTTTGCCTGGGACTCCATCTCCTATCTAACTCAGGTTCTCCCCTAGAGGTCTCCACTTTGTAATTTGTGAAAGCACAGCTGTAACTGAGGGGTTTTAAAAACTGTTTTCTTTAGAACCCTAAGATACCATGGCAGCATTCCAGGGAAATTCTAGGGAGAACTACATGGTGGCAGCTCAATGATTTTGGTCTTTTGTTTATTTGCTTCTATGTATGTTTGGAGTATAAAATTGTACAGTGAAATAAGAGTTTTTGCCTGCAAGATTCACCTTAAAAAAGATATTCCCTGATGATAGGTTCAGGCGTATAAGTTTGCTTGGAGTCTTACATAACTGTGACATTCAGAAAATGTTTGCTCATTTGGAAAGGGTGAAAAAAAATACTTCTGGTATACTTCTAGTTTCCTTTTTTTAGAGCTCCTACAGGCTTAATGGAATCTATTTTATACTGGGTGCTCTGATTTTCAGTGTGTTTATACTTCTGCCTTTGCTTTTCCCCCCACAATGCAATCTAGGTTGGTACCTGCTTGAGTTTGGGCTAATCAATTAAATGTGAACTGTGGAGAGTGATTCCTTTCCAGATCGTTGATAGATAATCCTATGTTTCCAACCTCTATCCCTTTCTAAAAATTTGCTTCTAGAGAAGAGGTTTTTAACTTGGGGTCATGGATAGATAGATTTCAAGGGGTCTAGAAACTTCTGAAGAAAAAATTACATCTTTGTTGTTTGCTAACCTTTGGTTTCCTTTGTAATCTTATATATTTTATTTTATCCATTTTTCAATGCATAATTTTAGGAAGGGATTCATAGGCTTTACAAGAGAGACACACGTTAAAAAATGTTAAGAACTATTCTAGAGTATTCAAAATGTCCTCTTGAAGAAAAAGTGAATAAGCAAAGAGACCTGGGTTTAAATCCTGTCTCTGAAACCTACTAACTGTGTGACATTGGGAAAGCCATGTAACCTCTAAATATTCTAGGCAACTCCTAAGACTATAAGTTGCCAAGAAGTTACTGACGAAACTTGAAAATGGCTCCTCATCTGAAAGTTCCCTATACTTACCAAATCACATCTATCCCCAAATCTATCCCGGTCAGTCTGTAGCTCAGAAAGTTGTAAATGAAGCATGTTGACACTGAGCATGGATAGGAGTAGTGGAGGTAGACCACTATCAGTCTCTCATTGCACTTCTGCCCCCTCCCTGTTGCACCCTACTTTTCCTGCCCCCCCATTCCCTGCTCAGTGCTGGCATTCTCCATTTGTGTGAGATTTTTTTCCCTTAGGCACAATGTAGGTGACAGTGAGGCAGCTTTGTTCTTACTGCAAGTCACTTAAGAATGCTCCACAGTTGGTGAGTTGGGCTCCATTTAGGCTGAGCTACTTAATATCTTTGTGTCTTTGGGCAAGTTACTTCCACTTTCTAAGCCTTGTTTTCATTCTGATAAATGAGGGGAGTTAAACTAGATGAGTTCTAAGGTCCCTTCAAGCTCTAAATCCTGTAACTCCAGTGACTTGATCACTTAATCTCAGTGACCTAGTTTCTGCATCCATGAATGTCAAAAACACAAAGGACTTCCATTTATTTCACATATACATTGTAACTTCATAGGAATATCAGTCAATGAGCATTTATTTAATACCTGTGGTTTGTTTGGTCATTTCAATCATGTTCCACTCTTCATGAGAGGAATAACCCCATTTTGGGATTTTCTTGGCAAAGATTCAGGAGTGGTTTGCCATTTCCTTCTCCAGCTCATTTTACAGATAAGAAACTGAGGCAGACTTATTTGGGGTCACACAACTAGTAAGTGTGAGGTGAGATTTAAAGTCAGGCAGATTGTCTTCCTGATTCCAAGCCCAGTACTCTGTCCACTGAGTCACCTAGCTGCCCCCTATTCAGTGCCTACCATGACAGATGTACTTGTTCCACTATTTTAAAAGATGTCGGATTGACTACCCCCTCCAGTGATACAGAGTATCCCTCCAAGTCTTAGTGGAACATTTTATGAATTAAAAAAAATTCCAACTGGTAGCCAATTAGGGACACAAACACAAAGAATCTCAGGGAAGTCCATATAATTCTTTAAGAACCCCATTCCTGAGATATTTCCTCGTTAAATATGAGTCTATGTTATGGTGTGGACTGGATTTGTAACTGTAGGGGAACTATCACAGCAAGGAAATTCCATTCACCAATACAGAGCTAGTTGCAAATTATAGTCTTGTTTCAAGCAATGGGAGGTTAAGTGTGGTGCCTAAGGTCACTCAACTAGTATGTGTCACAGGGAAGACTTGTACCCAGATTTTGCTCTCTCTAAACCCAATTCTCTAGTCTTTGAAAAACCTAGTTAAATTAGTCAATCCCATGCCTACCCAAGAATTCAAATACAATCAACTGGTAAAGGAGTTAAATGTTCCATGAATCAGTAATGACGCATAGGAAGGAACTATAAACAACCTAGAGATGAGAGCTTAACAGGCAAACACCCCTATTAGGTAAACAGATAGGGTAAATGTTGAGTCATACTAAACAATATTTCTCCTTTCTATGCAGATGACAAATGCACAGCTTTATAAGGAGCATAGATTGCTTTTTGTAAAGCAGCCATTTATAATTATAAGATTGCTCTTTGTTAAAAGAGTGTTAGGGGCATACTGAATACTCTGCCTGGGATTAGAATTTTAAAGAGCTAACCAAAGCCACCATTTTCTTTTTAAGGGAAGTCCCTAAACTTTGTACCGGCGCTTATACAGTGCCTGTTACATATTAGGCACTTCATAGATATTAATTGATTGATTGATTGTTCATCTATTGAATATGAAGAACTTGTTGGGTTCTAGTTGCATATATATTATAGAAACAGCTGTGGTAACTTTTTTTTTTTAAATTCTGTTGGGTAAGATAGAGCATGGTATAGGATAAAGACAATCATGGCCATCTCTGGGTAGACAGCCAAGCCACAATAATAAGAAGTCAGCAGATAAAGTCCCACTTCAGTGGTCTGGGATGAAACTGGTTCTTCAATAGATATTTGCTAATCTGTTAAAGGAATTATTTATGTTATTCTATCCATGAATATATCTCTTTCTTAGCAGCATTGATAAGGACTTCTATAATTCCATCAGCAACGCCCAGCTGGAGACATCTTTTCATCCAAATGAAAACTTTGATGTTGGACTAATTGACCAAAGGGTTCTGAAACAAAGGTGGGTCAGTAGGATATTTTCTGAATTTGCTAATTGGATTTAAAAATGAGTAATTGCTATTTCATTCAAAGATTTTCCATGTTTGAAAAATGGGGGAATCCCATAAATGTTTAGCATTTTAGTAAACCTCCCTTGAATTCTTTCTCCGGAAAAGGAGTTACAATCAAATGTATTTGAAACTAGTATTTGACTGAGAGAATATTTGGTTGGAGGATTTCATTGCCCAACTTTATTCTTCTGCATGTCAGCTGTGGTTTCCCAAGCCAAGTGAAGTGGGGAGTAAAGGCAATTGTCAAGGCCATTAAGAAACAAATTATCCACTCATGAGAATGATCTGTATTGTGAGGATTAACTGAGTACACAGATTCTGTACTCTTTACCTGTGGAGCAGACAAGTGTTATTGAGACTTTTCGACTTTCTGGATATGAGAGAGGTACTTGTTCCAGTATTTCAAAAGATCTTTGATTGACTACTCCCTCCAGTGATGCAGAGCATCTCTCAAATTTTAGTAGACAGTTTTTGTGAATTACCAAAAAAATTCCAACTGGCAGCCAATATTTAATGATCAGCCTCTGAATTTAGCTAGCCTGAGCCCTGGATAACAGACATATAATACAGTGCTGGGCCTATATGCAAAGCTTCTCCAGTATGGCAGCACCTACCTGAGAGCATGTTCCACTGATATAGTCATCAAGAGCCCACAGGTGCTCCAATGACCAGCGAGTCGTTGGAAGAGGGCTAAAATGGAGGAAAAACTTGGTATATTTTATTCTTTTTTTTTGTTTTGTGCTTTGATATATATGTTGTACCATTTCAACCCTCAAGACAGGTTGAGAGAGAAAATCAATAGGACCACCAATCCAAGCACTAGTAACACTGAGAAAAACTAAGATACTAAAGATGACAATTATATATCAGTTAAGGGTGTAGGCCTTGGAATGGTACTCAGAGCTGCGCTCTCTTAGGTCACTGACATTTAAGATCTATACTAGCTACATCACTATTGGCCTCAAGTGTCCCAAGGACATGAATACAGCCTTTCAGTTTGAAATTTATAATACAATAATTTCCCCATGGAAACAGGCTCTAGAGGAGGCAGACCAGCATAAAATGGAGTCATGCAAGGTAGGTTGACCAGTTGATAGATAGTGCCATTTGAGTTATTGTATCCAGGAAGACTAGGTAGAGCTCTAGATCAGCAGCCAGGCTAGTAGGCATGCAGGAAAGGCTACTTATGATACCCAGAGTCTCTGGGAAAGCACTTACTTAGAGAAGTATCCTTTGCATCCTGACTTACGCCTTTTGTTCAGTGGATCCTGCCTCCTGGCAGAATTATATGTTTTAAGGGACCTGGGTCAGGGAACAGATAGAGTATATCTAAGGAGGAAGAATCCTTCTTGTCTAGTTAGAAGGTTTTGTGCTATCATTATTTTAGGAGAGGGCTGTGTCCCCTGTGTAGATTTGGGGTTTGGTCAAAGTGTCTATTTTCCTTAGAGATATGATGGAATTGTCCCCCAGATGAAAATAGTAGTGAGTTTATTAGATCAGCCCCACAGAATCGCAGGCTGTAATTCAACTTGTACATGAAAGGATTCTCCACTATAATATATGTGGGGTTGTCCATTCCATGCTTAAAGTCTTCCTAGGAAGTGGAGGTCACTACCACTCAATAAACTTTAAACTCTTTTTGGTAGAAGGTTGTTTTTTTCCCCTGATATCAAGCCTAAATTTTTTTCTTTTTTTTTTTTTGGCCACTTCCATCTATTATTTCTGATTCCACCCTCTGGGACCAAACAGAATCTGTCCAAAAGAAAGACTTTCAAATACTTGAAGACATTTATCATGTTTCCCCTGAGTCTTCTTCTCCAGGCTAAACATGCCCAGTTCCTTAAAGGGATACTCATGTAACCAGGACTCAGAACCCTTCACATCCTGCCTGCTCTCCTTTGGACATTATCAGTGTCCTTAAATCATGGCACCCAGAATTGAACACGGTATTCCAGGTGAGGTCCAATAAGGGCAAAGTCAAATGGAACTGTTTCCTGATGGCTCAAGATTATATTAGGGTTTTATTTTGTTGTTGTTGTTGTTCTTTTTTGTTTTTGTTTTGTTGGGGGGTTTTTTGTTTGTTTTTTGGCAGCCACTTCATATTGATGATTCATTGAATTTGTAGGCCACTACTTATGGTTAACCTTACCTTTCCCATCTTATATTTTATACCCAATCCCAATTGGAGTTTGTTAGATTCAGCCCAGTGCATTAGTCTGTCAGCATCCATTTGGATCTTAACTGTCATCCAATGTATTAAGCACCTCCTCTCAGCTTTATGTCATCCACAAATCTGATAAGTAAGTATTTATCCAAGTCAGTGATTAAAATGTTAAACAGCACAGGGCCAAAAGCAGATCCCTATTGTTTTTTCACTGGAGACTTCCTGCCATGTTGAAATTGGATTATTAGCAATGACTCTTTGAGTCTAGTCACACAATCTTAGATAATTTAGTTCTGAATCTAAGTTTATTATCATTCATACCAGTAGTGTCAAACTCAAATAGGAATAGGGACCACTAAATTAACATTAGGATCCTAGCAATCTGCATATTGACTTAGAAAACCATATATTAATGTTATCTATATTTCATTATATTTTTTGTTAAATACTTCCCAAATACATTTTAATCTGGTTTGGGCTGCACTTAGGCATATTATGGGCCATATGTTTGATATCTCTGATTTAGACCATATTTATCATCTCTACAAGAATAGTATATGATACTTTATCAACAATGTTGCTAATATATAGTCAAATTATATCCATAGCATTCCCCCCTCAGTTACTAGTTCAGTTATTCAGTTTAAAAAAAAAAAAGGAAATAAGGTTAGTATGGAATGACCTGTTTTTGATGAAGCTGTGCTGGCTCTTTGAAATCACCACTTACCAGACTTCCAGGTCATATTACCAACAAATTACACACACACACACACACACACACACACACACACACACACACACACACACACATTGGTCAGTCATTTTTCAGTCGTGTCTGACTTTTTCTTGACAAGATACTGGAGTGGTTTCCCAGGTTTGTACTGTGGAATCCACTCATCAATTTTTTTTTCTGTTATTGCAGCCTCTGTCAGCACAACCTGATCCTGTGCTAACCCCACTATTCTGTGGCAGCAAACAGCAGAATTCAATTCTGATCACCCTCCCAAACTCACCCATACTCCTGTGCAAAAGAGGCATGGATAGAGGAAAGCAGAAGCTTTCTCTGACTGGGGCAATAGCATGCCCAGAGAATTAGAATACCAGAGAACTAGAGCAGAGATAACTGGGGAAGGGACAAGTAAGTGTGTGTGGATCAGAGCTGCACCAGACTTGAAAGAAAAGGGACTGGAATCCAGCTGTGCACAGTTCTTTCTCTCCCTTCAGTGTCTTTTGGGGCAGAGAGTGAGATCAGCGAAAATGGAAGGGTGCTGAGATAACTTTGAAGTCTAGCTCTGGGAGATGAACTCTGTCATCAAAGGGGGGAGAAGTCAGAAAGTGAGCAATAAGGGAATATAAGAGGGAAAAAAGACTGAAATTAGCAAAGATCTCATGATGGAAAAAAAAACAGTAAAAAGCATTGAGTATAGACAAATTGAAAACAGAAGTGAAGTGGCCACTAGTACAGCTAAACAAGATCAAACAAGTCCAATCTCCAAATAAATATTTCAAGATAAAATAAATTAAATCAACATCTGAACAGACAAAACACCTTGTAGATTTCCAGAGATGATTCCCAATGATTCAAAAGAAAAATAAGAATTGTGAAAGTAGAATATATGACCTGCACAGCAGAAATAGTTGGCAAAATAGAAAAACTTGAATCCACAACAGAAAATCTCTCCAAAGAATTGAAAGAGAGAAAAAATTGATTGAGAATAAAAATACACAGAAGTGAAATAGTCCTGGTGAAAGTGAAGCAAATATCCCTATATACACCAAAATATTTATAGCAGCACTTTTGTGATAGCAAAGAAATGGAAACAAAGTAGATTGGAAAATGGCTAAGCATAGTATGGTACATAAATGTAATGGGATATTACTGTGCTGTAAGAAATGATGCATGTGGGGAAAACATAAACATGGAAGGAACTGATGCAGAGTAAATTAGGTGAATCTAAGAAACAACATAAAAGATAGGTACAACAATGTAAATGAAAAGAACAACTACGTACAAAGGAAATCAAAAGTGAATGTAACAAAATTATGAAGATTATGCATGAGTCTAATGAAGAGATATGAGAAGACAGCCCCAAACTACCTCTTTGTGGAGGTGGGAGGCCCAGAGATGTTACACATTGCACATGTTATTAGACTTTTTCCCAATGTATTCATTAGTTGTGGATTCCACCACCTTTTTCTTTTTTTATGTTTTTAGAAAATACTATTTGTTATATTGAGATGGCTTTCTGGGATGCAAAGAGGTATGGATACTGAAGATAATGATAATATAAAAAATAAGAGATCAATAAAGAATTTATTTTTTTTTAAAAAGGAAGAGAGGCAAACAGCAATAATATTAAAAAAGAACATCTCTTCATAAGCAAAAAACATATTGATCTTGAAAACAAAATGTATAGAGAAACTTAAGAATCATTGGTCTCCCAGAAGAACACTAAAAGTCAAAGAAGTTGAACATGATAATTAAGAGAATAATACGAGAAATGGCCCAGAACTTCTGAACACAGAAAATAGAGTGCTGTTGTAAGGATCCACAGATTGCAAGGCAAACTCCAAGACCAACCAAATTTAACAAAATTTAGTAATTCCAATGACAAAACACAAATTTTGCAAGTGACCAGGAAGAAGATCTTCAAGTAAAAAGGAAAGGAAATTTGAATAACACAAAACTATTTTGCACTCACCAGAAATTGCCACTTCCCTTTCCCTTTCACCAAAAATCTTTTAATGATCTTTTCTAGAATTTCCCCAAGAATTGAAGTCAAGATC